CTTCAGAGATGCCAGGAAATCTATCATTATTTCCTTATTCCCAGAATTATGGCAGAGTAGGAGTAATAGTAAGCATATGGAGAAGGGATTGATCTCAGAGTCTGGAATGAGGCCAAAGCTGTAAGGGTTATGTGGCTCCAACTGTGGGGACTGGAAGAGAGCAGGGAATGAGGCAAGTCACTTGACATCTACATGAATTTCATGTCAAGAGACAATATAGGTAACTGAATTTTTGTTTCATTCTCAGTGCATAGTGTAAAGGTGGACATGGCTATTTAAAAGAGATTTCCAAGGCTGAGCAGCAGGCCTCTCCTTTCCCCACTATCCTTCTAGTCAGACATCTATTTAATTCCAAGGTCACAACAACTTTCTTAATGATGAAATCATGTTAAGATATTAGTACCTGTTGGACTGAGGGTGTGACTCAGTAGTAGACTGCTTGCCTTGCATGTGCAAGGCCCTAGGTTCAACCCCTGGAACCACACATAAAAAAGATACCACTAGCTGATAGCCATATGATTTATTATTCCTTCTAGAGGTCATTTTGGAGATGTCATACATTAAAGCAAAAGAGTGACTCACTAATGGTACAATATCAGCCAAACATCTGGAGATATTTTTTCTTTCTACAGAAGGATTCAACGAAGCCTGTCATAACAGCCCACTAGAAATGAAATAGACCAGATTAATCCAAATGCAAGAGATGAAAAGTACCACTAGATTTTGAGTTGAATATATACCATCCAATTATACTTATTTCAAATCTTAAATTACCATGATTTCACTGTCGTCTCTCTCCACTTCTTTAACTCATGTACATAGTGAAAATTTGACACATAGAATTCCATGAATGGTACTGCTTATTGAATTCATTATGGTAACTATCAGAGGCATTAGTAGTATAGTGCTGCTCCAGTACCTGGCACAGTGCCTGGGGCATATTAACTATTCAAAATTATAATAATTATTTTTACATCTTTATTGCCCCAGCTCCTGGCATAATGCCTGGCATAAAATAGAGCACTGCTGAGTTGCTTCCCATTGTTCTCACTTTTCCATGGGATACATTTTTCTTCTGTTTTCCCCAATGCTGTTCCTTACTAGTATAGTCTTAGATCTTCCTGTAAGAATAGTGCTTAGCTCAGCACTATCAGTGACACCATCAGAAAAGCCACTTAGCCTTTTCTTCTATGGCAAATGGGTAGCGAGTGTTTACGACCATTTTTTCAGATAGGAAAACTGAGGTTATGAGCTGTTACCTTGGAATTTTAGCTTACTGCTCACCCTTGTATCTTATTATAGCTTCCAAAATAGGGCCCTGCTCCACATCCCACCCCCCCACCATTTCCCTACCAGGCCATCGTCAATCTCATCAGTTTTATTCTTACACTCTGTGGGGCCTGGAATGCCCTCATATTTTCATATTTATTCCATCCTCCAGGGATTAGCTTAAGAACTACCACCTCCATGAAATCTCTGAGACTTGCAATCCTCTTTGAATCTGGTGATCGAGCCTGTTCTGAAATCACAAAGCATCAAATCAGTACCATCTAATTTAGCACTCGACTGTGCCAACTCTCCTCAGTTAGATGGTTTTTGCTCATTAAACATCCATTAATTATCTGTTGTGTAGCAGACCCTGTGTGAATGTTTGGGAATTCTCAAATGAAAGTATTCCTACCTTTCTATTGAAGCAGACCAGGTTCCCCACCCAAAAGACCTTTGCCATAATTAAGCTTCTCTTCTTGTCAGAAAGATTTTTACAAAAAGTGTCAAAATAATGTCAGTAGGGTTTCTGCAGAGGGCATTGTGGTTTGAAGCTTCCTCTTTCTTGTAAGTACAAGGTTTGCAGACAAAAGGTATGATAGAGTTAGAATCTGCAATCAAGCTTGCTGGGCAAAATGATATTATCTCTGTTTTCTTGGTAAAAAGTGGTAAAACCTCTGTATAGCCTAAGACTATGGGATAAAGAGTAACTGTTATGAACCCATCTACTGTCATGTAACCACACCACTGAAAATAAATCCAAAAGAATTTCCAGACTTGGGGTCCAGAGATTTTTAGCCATTCGCAACTCTGGACTGCTATAGCTTATAAACCTGCTTCCTGAAAATTCCTCAGATGTCCAGCCTCTACTGTCTCACATCAGTATGGCTAAAACATAGGGTGAAATGAAGAAAGATACAGGAATATCAATGGAAGGTTGCCTCATTCTTTCTTCATATAGATACCAAGTGTCTAGGGTGTGCCAGGCACTGGATGAGGTGCAGGTGCTAGAAAAATAGGACAGATGCAATTTTTGCACTTGAGTTTTAAAGTTAATTGGATAGGAGAGATAATTATTCAGCAAGACAAAGAAGTATGTAAAGAGAAATTATGGTAAGCATTCAAAAGGAAGGAAGAGGACAGGGTACAATGGAGAGAAGAATATGAAGGAACTATTTTAGATAGGGTGGTTAGTGAAGGTCGCTGTAAGGAAGTGGTATTTTGTTGAGGCCTGCAAGATGAAAAAAGCTGAAGAAGAGTGTCCCAGGCTGTGATCAAAGCTCTTGAGGTAGGAAAAAGTCTCAGCATATTGGAAGAAGATTTAAACCAGGCATGATGGCACAAATCTGTAATCCCTGAAACTTGGTGGTGGGGGAGGACTGAGGCAGTAGGAACACAAGTTTAAGGTCAGCCTCAGAAATTTAGCAAGACCCTGTCTCAAAATAAATAAATTAATTAAAAAGACTCAGTGGTAGTGCCACTTGGGTATCATGTGCAAGACCCTGGGTTAAATCCCCAGAATTTTTGTAAATAAATCCCACTTTTTGTAAAAAATCTTTCTGACCCTTTTGGTTTACAACATAGACAGCAGTCTACAATTAGTATTGTGAAGAAGAAAAAAAATAAGAAGTTCCATAAGACTAAAGAGTACTGGCTAGGGGTGAGAGAGTTGCTTAAGAAGACAATGGAGAGGTAAATGCTTTGGAGAGCCAATACCTTGCAGACCTTATAAGGAATATTCATTCATCACAGAGGCAAGAGAAAACTAACCAATGAACAATGAAATGGGATTGTTTTTTTTTTCATGGATAATTTGGGGGTAAGATAGAAGGTAGACTTCAATGGGAGAAAATACAATCAGGATGATCAGTCAATTCCAAGGTCATAGCAATGGTACAGGTGAGAGTTGATGAAAGCATCTACCTGCTCTTTCCTGCCCCCTCCTGGCACCACATTGATTAGCATAGTGCTAGGCACACTGGGAGCTCTAAGTGATCAAGTAAACAAATGAAAGTTGAATTGAGTTTCTATTCAGGAGGTCATACAATCTCTTCTCCCTTTCCCCTTTTGGTTTACAACATAAAGAGCAGTCTACAATTAGTATTATTAAAGTCATTTGCTGTATAGTTGTCAATGCTTACTCTGAGTGCTGCTTTCCTTTAGCTACTGCTGAGTTACTTGAAAGTAGTGAAAGAAAATACCAGTGCTTCTCAAGAGAGCCAAACAGCACCCTGCTCTCCTGAGATCTGGATGCAAAGAGAAATTTGTCATTTAGCCCTCTTCAGGGCAAGAGGCACCTCTCATCTACAAATGCTAACTTCCCAGAAGATCACAAGGACATGAATTACAAATTCCACTTGATATAATATATGCTTCTCCTTCTGCCAAAGCAAGGATATAATTACCTGAAAGAGTGAGGTAAATGTTTGTGGAAGCTCCATGTCTTCATTTTCTCTTACATCCAGGAGATGAGACAAGGGGATCTTTATCACATTTCCATTTCCTTTTGCTGGCAAAATAGTTCTATAATGAAAAACACTGAAATAGGACCATTCTAGTTCGGCCTCCAAGGGAGCCTGGAGGACTAAGAGATGGGAAGGAAAGGGGAGCCAATCACATAATGGATCTGAGCCTCATGTTCTCCCCTGAGATCATCATTTCCATCTTACAGGGCTAGTACAAGGAGTCAATAAGAATGTGAGTGAATTTGATCCTGTAAATTATAAGACAAGAGCTCTATCTTGTGATTCATTCTATGCAAATGAAGGCAAAAACTGTCTCTTTTTTTCTTGCCCTCCCAGATAAAGTTTAAACACATTGTAGGAGCTCAGTAAATAGGTTTTTGCTTAAAAATCAATTCCATTAAGAATAATCTGGCTTTAGATCTGGTACAAATAAAACAGACCATTCACTTCTCAGAATTAAATCAAACAGATTCTCAGATCTGTTAGCGCATTGGTTTGGAATGGTAGAAGGAAAAAAATCATGGATGGGCAGAGGCAGTGTATGCTTATCTTTTGCAGATGGCTTTGGCTGATTGGAGTCAATATCCCTTCCCCAGTGAGCAGCAACAAGAAACAGGATTGCAGTTAGCACTAAAACAGCATTTCAATCTAGGATGTGCATCTGGGACAGTTGCAAATGCAATCTTGAAAATTAGTACAAACCCACAGACCAAGGGCTCAAAAGGAAACTGGCCAAAGATGAGAACCAACTTTCCATCATCAACCAGCAGTATTATTATGAGTATTTTCAGGCAGCAGAAAGGAAGGAAGGAAAGAAGGAAGAATTTGTACCATATGTTGGACGGTTTACTCTGTGCCAGTTGCTTTGATAATGTACACCTCCTGTAACTCTCACAATAGCTTTACAAGGCAAGAATTATTCTCTCACATAGGACCTAGCACACAATAAGCAGTCACTAAATGATAACTGCCAGTGATATTATTAACATGAATAACCTTAGTAATAATAAGTGAAGCACAGAGGGTTTGAGTAACTTAGCCAAGGTCTCAGAGCTGACAAGTGATAGAACGGGTGTTTGAGTTCAGGTCTTTATAACCCTAAAGCCTGAGCTTTTTCTGCTGTACCCCTTGGCAAGAGGGAAAGGATAGTGTCATTAAAACATTTTGGGATTTTTCCATCCCCTTAGCAAGGCTGCCCTCTGTAACTTGTCACCTAAGACCTTCAGATAACTAAGAATGTTTTTGGTCTTTCCCTCTCTCCTCACTCAGCTTTCTAAATTGCTATGAACCATGGCCCAGCTATACTACAAGAAGGTCAATTATTCACCATATAGAGACCGCATCCCCCTGCAAATCGTGAGGGCTGAGACGGAGCTCTCTGCCGAGGAGAAAGCCTTCCTCAATGCTGTGGAGAAGGGGGACTATGCCACTGTGAAGCAGGCACTACAGGAGGCTGAGATCTACTACAATGTCAACATCAACTGCATGGATCCTCTGGGTCGGAGTGCCCTGCTCATTGCTATTGAGAATGAGAACCTGGAGATCATGGAGCTACTGCTGAACCACAGCGTGTATGTGGGTGATGCATTACTCTATGCCATCCGCAAGGAAGTGGTGGGTGCTGTGGAGCTTCTGCTCAGCTACAGGAAGCCCAGCGGAGAGAAACAGGTAAGAGAACTCCCTACACGCTGGGAAATGGCCAGAAACAGCAGCACACAGTTCAAAGCCTTGAAACTAGGGAAGGTTAGATAGTCTGGAGTTAGGAAACTCTATCTCAGGAATCGCTTCAGTGATCTCAGGGTGGTATTCTAGAGCTATGCTGAGTTATGCTCACTTGCCTTTTCCAAGCTGTAACTTAATAAGCCCTCCAGGGAATTTTGATGCATGCTAAGGTTTGAGATCCACTGTCCTGGACTAACAAAAAATGTCTAGCTGGCCTCCCTGCATTTTCCCTTCTTTCAAGCCATCCTAAAAAAAAATGAGCTTGGTTTATTTGTATTGAAATCTCATAATGATCCTATCATTCCTGTCCATCTTTCAGCAAGTATAATATATCCTTGACTTAGTCTACTTTCTGTTTCTGTGACAAAATACCTGAAGCTTTGTAATTTATAAAGAAAAGTATGGTCAGGCACAGTGGCACACGCCTGTAATCCCAGTGACTCTATAGGCTGAGGCAGGAGGAATGCAGGTTCAAAGCCAGCCTCAGCAACTTAGTAAGGTCCTAAGCAACTTATGAAACCTTTTCTCAAAACATAAAATAAAAGGGACTGCGGATGTGGTTCAGTGATTAAGTGTCTCTGGATTCAATCCCTAGTACCAAAACAACAACAACAAAATGTATAACTCACAGTTTTGGTGCCATCTATTCAACTTCTGATGAGAGTCCCCTGGGCTGCATCACATTGTGGTAGGAAAAATGGAAAGGGAACCAACCACAGGCAAAAAGAGCAATATGAGAATATATAGTGGCCTCAGCTATGCTGAGTTTTGCTCACTTGCCTTTTCCTTTATAAGAACATGCTCTTTTATAACTAACTCACTCTGCAGGACCAGCATTCATTCCTTTCCAGATCAGTGCTCCCAATAACCTAATTATTTTGCACCTCTTAAAGGTTCTACTACTTTAACATCACCACATTGAGGACCAAACCTCCAGCAAAAGAAACCTTTGACGACAAACTGCATCCATACCATAGCATTCCTTATTAGAAGAGAAACTAACCCATAAAGCCTAACACTCAGTACCCTTCATATAATAGTCTTTTTTAGTCTTGTCTTCCCCTAGTCCTTTGTAAATACCCCCCAAGTCAGACAAGTCTCTTCACTGTCTCTCTTCTTTAGGGGCATAGAATTGGGCATATAGTAGGGACAAATAAAATACTGAATCATCAGAAATACAACACCTCAATACATTCCACAAAGTAGAGATAGTAGAAAACAAGATACTTAACTAAAGGTTTCTTAAGTAAAGGGTCTAGATGCCCTCCTTCCCCATCAGCATTTAACACAGTCCTGAGAAAGTAGGGACTTTGTCTCTATTGTTCACTGCTGCATGACATCACTAGAAAAGTGCCTGGAACATCACAGGCACCTGATAAATATTTATTTAATGAATGAGTAATATGCAACCAGCACTATACTAAGCATCTTACACTACTTACCTCATTTAATCCTCTGAGCAATTTTATTAGGTAGACACTATTATATCATCACATTTTACTATTGAGAAAAATTGAATCCCAGGATAATCAGGTAAATTTTCTGATCACAGTTAATAAATGGCAGAGGCAGGATTCTAACCCAGGCAGCCTATCTCCTGAACTGCCCTTTAACCACTATCAATACTGCTTCCCTGGAAATCTAAATAAATCTTAGTATTCCCAGTGTTAAGAATTATGAGATAGAACAGATGAATGCAAGATGGATGAGCCCTCTGGAAAGAACAGGCCTGAAGGATCTGAATGAATAACAAAACAAAGAGGTGAATGTTTCCTACTCAATCCATTTCACCATCCCCATCAAAACTCATCTCTTTTTGTGTCCCCTTTCCCCAAATACATGTTAAGTGTTGAGTGGTTTGATGTGTTAATTTTCTTGAAGACTTCTAGTGACCTTGCTCCAAAATGACCTTTTCTGTCCCCAACATCCTGCAACCCATTGGCTCTTCCCTTCGCTATATACCAATCTCATGCCATTTTCTACCACTGGTCAGCCTCACTTGTAGAAATGCCTAGTCTCTGTAACTAGATTGTTTCCTAAATGTGAGGCAGAAATTTAGTGCCCAACTGTCTCCATGCTTATCCCATAAGTATCGAAACAAGTGCCTACTAGATAATTGATGATATGTAAATATTTGCTGAGGGACATGAAAGAGTCCCTCATGAAGGATACATGAAGTATATTACCTAGGAAGCACACGACTTGTTATTAAACAAGACCTCTTTGAGCTGGGCTCGGTCGTGCATGCCTGTAATTCCAGCAACTTGGGAGGCTGAGGCAGGAAGATCTTGAGTTCAAAGCCAGCCTCAGAAGATTAGAGAGACACTTAGCAACTCAGTGAGACCCTGTATCTAAATGAAATATTTAAAAAGGCTGGGAATGTGGCTCAATGGTTAAGCACCCATGGGTTCAATCCCTGGTGCCAAAAATAAACAAACAAACAAGACCTTTTTGGCTTTCATATTCAATCCCATTTAGACTAGTAGCTGTTTGAAGAAGAGAACATATGGAAGTTTTGGGGTGGGGGAACCTAGCAATGTTGACACTAGCTAACTTTTTAAAATAGGCCAAGTTCTTGTTCAATGGGTCCACTTTCCCCATCATTCCTGAGTGCTCTAGCAAATGATGAAGTTTTGCCAGTCAGGATGAAAGTTACCAGGTATACTTACACTCAAGTGCAGTCTTTGCCTCTCCTTGGCAAAGACAGAACTTTAACTCAATAGGAATGAACCACTCAGGGTGGAAAGTCAGGCATATGGAACCTGGGTAACGCTATCTAGGGCAAGCTCTCTTTTGCCAGGACCCTTTCACACACAGTCAATATAAGACTTTCTTTGTCCATGCTCAGATATCATACTGCATGTACAAACTCACAAAGCCATCAGGTCCATTCCCAAGTTTCTGCAGCAGCCTTCTCCTGCCCTTCTCCTGCCCTACTCCAACCCCTCCCAGCAGCCTGTGCTACATTTCATTTTCTTCCACTGCTCTGACAATCATTATGATAAGTCAGATGTCAGTAACTATAACAACAGGCTGCCACAGTGCTGGAGCTCTGTCTTTCTGGGAGACAGATACACGGTTGTTTACCTGGGAGCAATCAGGGCTATGAGTCAACACAGGCCTCCTAAAGGACCTTGGATTCATCTGGGTGGTCCACTCACAGGAAGGTACTCAAGTCTTCTACACATACAATCCAAACCACTGTCCTGTTTCACAGAGGCTCTTCCCTATCTTTCCAGGACGTTGGGTACAGCTGATCTCCCCTATTTTGGGAAAGATAAACCAATCCTCTCCTTGTCATTACCGGGCAAGAACTTGAGCCCCAGGCGAGTGGCAAGACCTCCTCTGCTCTTTTTTCCCCCATCCCCCTTATGTTCCTCTGCCTCTCTAGCCTATCAAAACTACTCTCAGATGAAGATCACAGCCAGAGCATAAATGACTGACATGACTTTCAAGTATCAACACCATATGAAGACATGCATTTTTAATAGAGATCAAATATTAAAGTAAAAATGATGAGACCTTAGCAGGTAGAATTTTCTGCACCAGAGGGTGTGTGTGTGTGTGTGTGTGTGTGTGTGTGTGTTACTTTATGGTCCTCTGGTTGCTCCAGAAATCTGACGTTTTTGGCCCACTACCTAATCACCATGGTCTATTCCTCTAGGGGTAGATTTTGGCAACCTGGAGGATTTGTGATTTCTTGGGGTAAGTAGTCTCAGAATTCAAGCTCTATGGACAACAGGAGGTCTAATGCCAGCCTATTTCTTGTCAGCAAGGGAGACTATATGAGCAGGCTCAAAATCAACTCAGAATCCATTGATATGCATATGAAAAGTTGTAAAAATGGAGATTCCTGAGCTTCCTTGCATACCTACAGAATGAAAATCTGGGGTTTAGGCCTTAAATCAGCATTCAATAAGCTTATCTCTACCCATTTCTAAGTAAGAGGTTCATGCACCTCTCCATATTTCCTATAGCTTTCATAACAAATATCCATAAAGTGAATGGCCTAAACAAAATGAATATATTATCTCTCAGTGCGGGGGGGCAGAAGTCTGAAATGAAGATGTCAGTAGGGTTGGTTCCTTCTGGAGGGAGAATTAATTCCACACCTTTCTGCTAGCTTCTGGTGGTTGCCAGCAATACCTGGCATTCCTTAGCTTATAACTGCCATCACTGTAGTCTCTATCTCCATTGTCACAGAGTTCTCATCTGTGTCTTCTGTTTCTGCATCCAAATATTCCTCTCCATTCTCTCTCTTTCTCTCTCTCTCCCTCCCTCCCTCCATCCCTCTCCCCTCTCTCACACACACATACACACATAGTACTGTATCTTATATCTCCTTGGCCCTTGAAGCGCAAGCATAACTTGAAAATCCCTGGCCTAGAAGAGAAGAACAGATTCTCATTTAGAGTTTGTGCTGTTAGGCAGCTTATAACTAACAGGGTGACCTTGGACAACTCACAAGCTTTCTATAGCTCAATTTAATATTCTGTAAAGTGAAGCTAATAATACCTAACCCCTACTGCCTGCTGTAAAGAAGAAATAAGATTAAGATATGTCAAAGTCTTTGGGGAAAAAGTTTTTGAAACTGTTAGATAGAGGTCAATGACTACTATTCCTTCAGGCTTTGTTCCTTCAGTTTGACTTAGTCTGTCACATTGTGTGGAAAGACTATCCAGGAAGTAGAATTCATGACAAGGTGCTACCAGTACAATGTGAGGGAGCAGTTAGATAGCGAGCTGGCCCAGTTCACAGATTATCTCCTTCTGCCTGACCTTGATGGCAATAGTCTCCCTTCTGCTACCAGGCAAGCTGCATGACTTTAAAGTCATCCTTACTTTTTCACTAGAATCTAAGGAATTTAAGCAACAGGGAGGTAGAGATTCTGGCCTCTGCATCAACAGCCCACCCAAGTAATTTTCTTTCTTGGTCACTTGCGTCAA